TTATTATTAAAATCTATTGATGCGATCCTAGAAAATTCTAAGTTTTAATTACCAGACCCAATGTAATCCAGTTAGTCTAAGACCTTGGTTCCTGTCTCATGCAGTGAACAATGCTTTACTCCTAGATCTATGTTCTTCCTAGATATGACTTACTTTACAACAAGGACATCTGATCCTCCTTTCCTAAGATGAACAGTCATGCACTTTAGGGATTTTGAGTCTTGTCTGTATACAAATACCCTAATTTGATCACTCACCAAGGCTGGAAATTTAGCTTCAGATGGGAGTTCCAAAAGGAGGACACCTTGATAATTCAGACACTAGGATATCTGTTTCATGTCCTTCCTCTACCTTCTGGTGGTTTGCTGGCAACTTCTGGCATTCCTTGTATTGCAGAAGCATCACCCTAATCTCTTCCTTATTTTTAACAAATGTACATGTGTGTGGTCTGCGTACAAATATCCCTTTAAAAGGATACTAGAAATACTGGACTAGGGGCCCATCATATTAAAGAATGAGGTCATTTGAAGTAACTACATCATCTAAATAAGCTCCATAATCAGAAAGTGGTTCATCCTTTCTTGTTAGTTGAATCAAACAATTTTCTGTAGAAAATAAATGGTTTTCAATTGTTTAATTGGCTTTATTTTATAAGAACATTTTAAGTTTTCAGTCTGCTAGTTTTTGATTAACAGTGCATGCAGATAGACAAGTTTTACCCAGAGACCTAGACTACTATAAATTTGTGGATCATAGTTTTTCTCAATCTTGCCAAGAAAGTTTTTGAGGCTAGTTATGTTAATTGTGTCATGACTAAATGACAGCTGTATAAATCTAGAGTTTTCAAAAATGGTTTCTTTAGAACATAGTCTATTCAAAAGACGCATTCTGGCCAGGGACAATTCAGAATCCCCATTGGTGCACCCAATTTCAATAGCGACCCAATACATGAGAGTTGCTACACCTCGGAATAGTAATGCAAATCCTCTTCTTTCTATCAATCACATTTAGGGAATAAGAGGAAGAATGAGTTTTACCATCAGCTCACCCAAATTTCACAGAGAAATACTGCGAGCCTGACAGGTAAGAAAAGTTTACCATTTTGCTGGCTTTGAAACTCTTGTCATCCTCAGTTATGTCCTCCAGAATAGCAGAGCACCTGAGGTATCCTGTTTACAGTGTCACAACTGCAGAGGCCAAGCAAAAGTCTTCTACTTCACCCCTGAAGCTTTATGAATAAAAATCACTGATAAATTTAGAACAATATGAAGACAGAGCAAAACTTGCATTTTCCTCGGATATGCTAACTCTGAAACAGTAACATAAAAGCCTAGACCTGTGAGATCTCACCCCTTTTTCTTTCCCCCCTCACAAAATATTTCCTACTCAATGATGATGTAATATTTTAGAGACCTGTTAAGTGGCCAGTGCTCCCTGACATCTAGTAAATATTGTAGCCACAGAAAATTGCAATAGAACGCTATTTCTTTTCCATCATTTCATAGGTAAAAGCTTCTCGATTTTGCAGGATGCATCCTAAAAGTCTGCAAGTTGAAATAGAGCTTTTATTACTCATTACAAGGTGTTAACCATGGCCAGTTCTCTGATGACTCAGATTAACACAAGACACAAATTTGCACAAGACACAAGTTCACTAGTTCACAAACAATAGGATTAACTGGTTTCAAATGATAGCTCTCACAAGGTTTCAAACCAAACATCCAAATAACATAGGTTTTTGAGAAAGAAATTTCACAGGCTAGCTCACAAGTCAACTTACAAATTCTCAAATCAGACAAACTACAAAACAGTCTCTGAAGAGTTTTAGTCCCACCAACTCAATTAAGGAAAGAATCCCACCAAAAGAATTGTCCGATTAAAACAAGACTCAGTATCTAAAGGAAAACTACTCTTGGTGCCACTGCACACACATTCTGCTTTACTGACTCAAGGAATCTCCTGAACCAGGTCTAGTGCTTCCATTTCTTTTACTCTGAGTGCTGAGATGCACCAAGGGCCAATGGCACTCAGGTCAGCAGCCAGGTGCTTGGAGCTGTCCCTGATATGACAAGACTCAAGACAGCTCCAAGGACACTGCTAGACCAGGGAATCTTTGTGCCACAAGTGAAGCACCCACTTGGGGGCTTAAAGCCCCATCTGGGATGCCAAAATTGTAATCAAACCAAGCTTGGGTATGTTGACCTGATGTGCAGCTAAAGCCAAAATACTGACACGGAGTTGTGGTGAGGGAAATTAAGCTTTATTACAAGGCTGAGTAATGGAGATGAGGTGGGAAATGCTAAAAAAAAAAAAAAAATCCGACCTGTCAAAAAGTTTACATGTAGGGATTTTAAAATACTGGTGGTTTGGGTAGGGGCTGTATGTGTAGCTAATGGACAGCTCTGCTTGGCTGAGTCTCTGAGGAGAAAGAAGCAGAATTTCCAGGAACAAAGATGCTACATTTGGTTTCTACTGTCATCTGGTTCTTATCAATCTATTTCTTTTAACAGTTTCCCTCAGACCAGCACATTCTGAGGACTGAGGGAGTTTAGTTTTTGTCCCTACATAAAGACATCTCAAAAATATGTGTTAAGATAGTGTCTTTTATCCCAGCAATTTAGTGACTGTTTTCACTCTCCTGATCACCTAGGTAGTATCAGGTTCTGCCCAGCTGAATCCCTGTACTTGCTTCCTCAGTTGCAAGGCTCCTGTTCCCAGAGCCTAAATCACTATCAGCTTGGTGGACCAAGGCCACAGCTCACTTTCATAAAACTTTTGGGGGGCTTCATCCAAATGGGGTACCCAGTTTCAAAACTGCTCTAGATTTTATGTTGGCTAGTTGCATGAGCTTGCTTGGGCTTCCATACAAAATACCACAGACTGGGTGGTTTAACCAACAGAAATTAATTTTTTTCACAGCTCTGGAGGCTGGAAGACCAAGATCAAGGTGCTTGCGTGATTGGTTTCCTGTGAGGCTCTTGCCTTGCCTGGCTGATAGCCAACTTCTCATGTCCTCTTTATAAGGTCATTCTCCATGCACAGGAAACCCTGATGTCTCTTCCTATCACACAATCTTTTGTCATATAAACAACCACCAGATTGCATTAGGGTCCAGGCTTATTTTTACCTAACCATGCCTTATCGATATGCTAACTCTGAAACAGTAACATAAAAGCCTAGACCTGTGAGATCTCACCCCTTTTTCTTTCCCCCCTCACAAAATATTTCCTACTCAATGATGATGTAATATTTTAGAGACCTGTTAAGTGGCCAGTGCTCCCTGACATCTAGTAAATATTGTAGCCACAGAAAATTGCAATAGAACGCTATTTCTTTTCCATCATTTCATAGGTAAAAGCTTCTCGATTTTGCAGGATGCATCCTAAAAGTCTGCAAGTTGAAATAGAGCTTTTATTACTCATTACAAGGTGTTAACCATGGCCAGTTCTCTGATGACTCAGATTAACACAAGACACAAATTTGCACAAGACACAAGTTCACTAGTTCACAAACAATAGGATTAACTGGTTTCAAATGATAGCTCTCACAAGGTTTCAAACCAAACATCCAAATAACATAGGTTTTTGAGAAAGAAATTTCACAGGCTAGCTCACAAGTCAACTTACAAATTCTCAAATCAGACAAACTACAAAACAGTCTCTGAAGAGTTTTAGTCCCACCAGCTCAATTAAGGAAAGAATCCCACCAAAAGAATTGTCCGATTAAAACAAGACTCAGTATCTAAAGGAAAACTACTCTTGGTGCCACTGCACACACATTCTGCTTTACTCACTCAAGGAATCTCCTGAACCAGGTCTAGTGCTTCCATTTCTTTTACTCTGAGTGCTGAGATGCACCAAGGGCCAATGGCACTCAGGTCAGCAGCCAGGTGCTTGGAGCTGTCCCTGATATGACAAGACTCAAGACAGCTCCAAGG